CCAATCGATCCCGGCAGGGAACAGCTTTTCAGGAGCAGGAATTTATCTGGAAAAAGCTTTAGGTAAGCTGGATATGTACGCCACAGTCTTCCAGGCCGAGGTTTTTGCTATTTTGATGGTAACAAGTAAGGAGGAGGTACGGAATTGTGTAGAGGAGAAGATTTTTTATCTGCTCCGACAGTCAGGCCCCGCTCAGAGCGATTAGCTCCCCGGGGACAAGGTCTACCCTCGTCCAGGAATATGGAGACGCTCTAGAGTCATTGGCCAGATGAAAAGAGGTAGAGTTGGTTTGGGTCCCAGGACACATGGGTATGGGTAAGGGGATCGGATCTAGGGGATCTGGCCAAGGACCTGAACCAATCCTAGCAATCACACGAGGTAGCGTTAATGAGGCCCTTAATGAATGGGCCTATCAAACTTTAGGCCAGAACTGGAAGAGAAATAGAAGATGTAGGCAGGCCCACAGTTTCATATGGACCTAACAAACTTAAGACGAGATGGCTGCTGAACCTTAGTCGAAGAGCCCTAAACGAAAGGGTGGGGGTCTGACAGGCCATTGCAGACTTAGGACGTATTTTAAGTTTAATAGGAATTGAGGAGGACCGTCTATGCCCGAAATGTGGAGTAGGGGAGAATACCCCTATCCACGTTCTGGGACTTTGTGCAGCCTTTGGGAGGATAAGACATAAAGTCTTTGGTGTTGAAGAGCTGCAAAGGGTTGGGGTGAGAGACCTTCCATGGACCAAAATCCTGGCGTTCATTAGGGCGTCGCGTCGGTCGGGTAGGATCGAGGAGGGTCAAAGGCCGAGAGTGGATAGGTCTCAGGCTGCCAAGCCTAATTGCCAGGCTGAGGCCGCTCCTTTTCACTACTATTCCTTGTTCCTGGGGTTTCATGAAAGATTTCGTTTATATGGTTCCAATATTATCTGAACAACAACTAAGGGAACGAATTGTACAAGGTGGAGAGCATTTTAGGCTGAAATCACATATATTCCAAAATAATCGTTAGTCTCTCATTAAAAGAGCCCGAATATTAGGGAAGATGGTAGGTACATATATTGACGATTTAGTTTAATTTAACTGAATTAATTTTTTGTCTTTTTTTACTATTTGTTGCTAACGTTTTGTTTATTTCAATTTACTAAATAAATTGGAAACGACCATTTGGAGCTTTGGATTTTGGGGTTGTCTCATTTCTGGTGTGTGTTTTTTACGTTTTTATTTAATACTTAGCGATATTTAGTTTGTGCGACACCTAATGCAACCAAAGAAGTTGAAATATCTCGTAAACTGAGCCCCAAATCAAAATCCTATAGGAGTGAAAAAAAAAACAATTAAAAAAGATTGTATTTAAAAAAATATTTTGAAGCCTCAAGCGAACTGAAAAAAAAAAAAAAAATTGGGGTATCTGTGACATATGATAAAAATATATAGTCCAGGCGGTACTTGTTTCGGGTTGGGTAAAACGCATATGATTGGAGATTTTTGCTTTAACGGCTTCTAAATAACATCAGAAATGATAATATTTCTATGCAAATAAAAAAAACGTGGGCTTAATTGTTATTGCAAAAAAGTATAAAAAAATAGCAAAAAAATTCATTTTTTTCTTGGATTTCTCGTCGACAACTTAGCAACTATTCATTTTAGACAAAAATGGAAGAGGAAAAAAAGTTTTGTAATTAAATTTTGATCAAGATAGAGTTAGTTGCAATTCGAAAAAATAATTATTGTTATTGCAAAAATCGGAAAAATTTTTTAATTAAAAAAGAAATTAAATAATTATTATGTAAAAACTATCGAACCGAATTGGATGAAATTTGGTGTGATGATTCTATGCACTAAGAAGTTTAATTGGGAAAAGTATGAAGATCCTAGGTATTATTCAAGTGTCTGAAAAAAATTGACAAATAAACTAGCATTTTTGCAATTTTTTAAATGATTTCGAATTACAACTAACTCTATATTGTTCAAAATTTAATTACAAAACTCTTTTTCCTCTTCCATTTTTGTCTAAAATGAATAGCTGCTAAGTTGTCGACGAGAAATCCAAGAAAAAAATGATTTTTTTTGTTATTTTTTATACTTTTTTGTAATAACAATTAAGCCCACGTTTTTTTTATTTGCATAGAAAAATTATAATTTCTGATGTTATTTAGAAGCCGTTAAAGCAAAAATCTCCGATCATATGCGTTTTACCCAAGTAAGACAGATACCGCCTGGACCAATATGCCTTTGAAACAAATCACCAGAGCTATCAATAAAAATAGTTTTTAAAATTTTGACATCCTGCATTTTGAAAACAGGGCTCCGAAAACAGATATTGTTTGGACTAAAATGGGTTAACGGCCTGACCTACTAATTTGTAACACCCTATAGATGAGTTGTTAACTCCTGAGAAATATTTATCAAAGCTATTATTGCAACAGATAACTTCAGATTAAATATTTTTTAAAATCTCCAAAGTATGTAAGTAATAATAAATATCACTTAATGCTATTCACAAATTGTTTGCTATTTATTTTTTTGCTATTTAAATATATTTAAAAATTGGGTACTATTAATTGTTAAATATATAATTGTTTAATTAAATTGAAATCGAGTGTTTATAAAAACAAACAAGTATTAAAAGTACTTATACAGGGTGATCATGAAACTGCATTCTTATTTCTCAAAAATATGCACGTTGTTCATTAATACCCTTTGTACCGTGTGTGATTGCCTGTATATTTTTAAACGGTGCACTGTAATAAAAATATATTTGAGCTGTAAATTATAAAAATGTATTTAAATACTGTTAAAGCTGCCGAATAATTTTAAACACTATAACGCATAGATATAAAAAATATAAATAAAAAATTTCTATATATCCTGTAAACTGAATAAATTTATTAATAAACTCGATTTTGATAAAAAAATATACTTATTTCAATAACTTTTGATAACCCGAAATTTTTTAAAAACCATTAGATATATATTTGTCGGCACGTGCTGACGTTTTTGTGTAATAGGATGGGAATTATAGTGTTTGTATGTGTAAATTGTACTTTTACCAGCTACAGTGGAAAGTATTAATAAAAATTGGAAAATCTTACCATATTGCTATTTATTACGATTCTAAAATCCGATGGTAGTAATTAGTAACAAAAATAAAAACAATAAAATAACAACATGAACAAGAACAACAAAAACAACCATAACAGTAACGGTAATAACAATATAACAAGAATAACAACAATAACATATGTATTCCATAAGTTCTCTTTCACACAAAGTATTACAAATGGTGAATTTAAAAAAGTTCAAGGGCGTATTTATACAAGGAAATTTTCGACCATTGATTGTGGAATCTTCAGTTGATGAACAAAAAATTTTTGTATTGCCGTAGTACGCAAATTTCGCTCATGTTTCGAATACGCGCAACAATTCTTCAAGAGGAGTCCCCGTGGTACAGTTCCCCTCAGCATACTAGGAATCCAAGTCCCAAGGTGCAGTTTCCGCATGTAAAATAGGAATCCACACTACAGCAATGCGGCTATCTTTCAGGTTATAATAATAGACTGGTTAGGAGTGTAACAAAGAACAAAAAGAATATGTACGTCTGGTCATCTGCAGATGGAATAGATTCACAGGGCAACAATTTTTACACCCAAAAATCAGACCTCACTTGCCCGAAGTTTTTGGAATGCAGAATCCGAATCCGGCGACAGAATTGCTCCTATACGTCACGTTTCCGAGATATCCTAACCCAAAGTGCAAAAACACGTTTTTTTACTATATTTGAGTTTATATCACAGAGCGAAAACATTTTCTTTCTAAGAACGAATCATGTCCTCTAAAACTGCCAGTCTTACCCTTCAAAACGCTTTTTTCAGATTTGAAAAATCTTTTTTATTCGCGGAGATATCTTTGAATGAAGTTAGGTACCTACTTACTTTAGCGTTTTCATAACAGTGGTACTAAAATTGACAAAAAGTTCTTCAGTAGTTATGAAAACGCTAAAGTACCTAACTTCATTCAAAGATATATATCCCCACGAATAAAAAAAATTTTCAAAACCGAAAAAAACCCTTTGAAACCGAAAAAGGGGAAGTTTAAAAGGCAAGAATCCGTTTTACAAAAAAAAAAATTTCCCACCGGGAAAAAAACCCAAAAAAAACAAAAAAACCGGTTTTTTGCACCAAAAACCTTTGGGCAAATGAGGTCTGGCTATTGGACTTGATATTTCGTCAAATTTTGTTGCCCTGTATTATAGTACAGAGATGAAATGAGATTTATTTCTCTTAATTTTTTGAAGAAGAATTTTTTATAATTTTGAATTCAAAATGTCATTTAGGAAGAATCAAAGGAATATAGTTCAATAATTTTATTTTATTTTCCATTTTTTTGATGATATGAAATCCAGGAATTTTGAAATTATTAAAAATAATGTGCTTAAATGGAGCATTTAAGATTCAAAATGGTAGGCAAAGGAATAGTAGGCTCTTACTTCTGAATGTACAAATTCTTCAAAAAATCGATGCTCCATCGAATAATCCATAAAACAATGAAACATATTTTATTTCTATTTTATCTCAGGGATAAATAGTTACCTTTGGCTTGTTTCGATATGAATTTGTTAGTATTATAAACTAATTGTAAGATTAAATTTTGATAAGAAAACTTCATGTATAATGATTAATTTTCCTGAAAGAGACAATTCTGGAGAGCAGGTTAAAGGTAATCATCATTAAATCTAAAATGTAGCCGCATCCGCAGTTGTATTGAGATAATATTTCATAATTTCTTAGATACATATTTTGTAATGAAAGCAGTTTGTATATTGGGGGATGTAGGCAACACTATATACACTCGTTAGTCCACAAGCTGCAGATGAAGTTGCCGATCTCCCACACACTTCTCCCCCACCGAGTTTGCGCATCTTGCTAACATTTTCTTCTCAGATGTACTTTGTGCTTGACTGTTTTTAATTACGTAGGTACTGTATTATCGTGGCTGAGTAGTGTACGGTGTATGACAGGTGTCTTAGTTAGTTAGTTAATAATAACAAAAAACAACAAATAAACACTGTGGAGATGTTGTAAAGTTCTGTGTGAATATGTTTTATATGGATTTTATCAAATACATCATACTTTTCATTCAGGGCAGAAGAGGTAAATAGAGTTATTGATTTTTGGTAGGTTATGTATGGCATGTACTTAAGTACTGCAGATAAATAATAAAAACTTTATTATTTACTTAATTTTAGCATGCTAATAGGATTATATTTCGGTTTTATGGTACCTACACTAAATGTTACCATACCTCTTTAAATATTTATTGTTTGTGTTTATTCCTACATTTGAATTAAGTAACCGTTGAAATTGCTAACAGTTTTTTTTAAATATTCTAAAGGTAGTTTTAACGAATTTTTATTTCTGTTTATGGTCCAATAGTAGTTGTTAGTTAATCATTTTTATGCAAAAAATGGTCTTACAAATATTAAATTTTATTTATTCAGTGAAATGACTAATTTTCTTTAAGAATCAAATTTTGTATTCAAACATCTATCGGTTGAATATGTAGGTGTGACACATCAGATTTTATTTACATAAATGACTGTTGCCTTTGCTAGAAAAATAATTTTTATAGTGATTTCAACTTTTGTTTCATATTAAGGTTTTTGAGTTTGTTATGGAAAAATATTTACTCGCAACAGGGAAAAAATTGCAGATACATGTTGTAACTATACTATAGGTACTTACAACAAAAAGATTTTCAATTTTGTTTGAATTAATATACCTACATTGTGAGTAGTATTATTGATAAAGGTAATAGCACTCCCTCAAAAAGAGGTGGGGTCTTTTTCTCAGAAGGTGTGGCAGGGTTAACGTTCTTTAATATCAACCCTAAGCGAGTTATGATTAGAAAAAGAACCCAATTGAGAACCTTAAAAAACAAATAAATATATAGAGGTAATAGTACAAATACTAATCATTTATTTCAAAATAACAATAGGTACACCAAATGTTGAGTGTCAGACTTGTGTATAAAATGACAATTAGCAATGAACTTTTCAAAAATTGTCTACCTCTTTCGTCTATACTTTTGAAGTGCCTATTTCAAATATGTCTACAAAATATCACCAAAACTGTGAACTATGAGACATTTTTAGAACAGATAGGTAATTTAAATCTGTTTAAATATTTATAGTTTTTTCAGAACTTATGCATCCTTTAAAACTCTATTCTTAAAATTGTTACAAGGCATTTCTCAAATTGTCAACACATTTGCTATCTAGCCTGTCTTCATTTGTCAGGTTGATCGTGATGTGATGCCTCATTTGATCAATAATTTAATTTTTATCAGTTAAATTTGATTTCATTTTCTGAAGGTTCTAGATTCCAGTAAACAAACTGAGTACAATTTACTAAACATAATTAATCTCATTACAAATAACTACTACCACTTGTCTGTTTAATGTATGGTACTTAATATTTAATGTACAGTTAAATTATCAGTTGTAAAATCTTCCTTGTCCGCGTATATTTTTCACGCAAATTAAGCGTAGTCAAGTCAATAACCTTCTCTTTTTTATTAAAAGATATTTCTCTAGATTTATTTACGTGATCACAAAAAGCGTTTAATGATAATAGGCATTTTAGGAATTTTAGAAATCAGATCAATGTCGGTGGAAATTTGATTTAAGTATAATGATTTAATTTTTATATAAACAGAGAAATATAATAAATCTAAAATAAATCCAATTAACGATGTTAATATTGTCTAAATTCATGAATTAATGAGTGGAGCAATAAGATGAGTTTGGACAAACAAAATTTATCATTGTGAAGCATTTTAAAAATAAACTTTTTTTGTATCAATTTTATCTATATATCACAATGGTGATAAATGTAACATATGGATTTAAATCAGTATGTACCCCTAGTGGAGTTAATTTATATTTATTATCTCTTATTTTTCCACAAAAATTTTCATATACCTACAGGCTGATTTAAAATTCAGTTCAAAGAATTTAGGGGCGTATTTTCGAGGTCAAAATAAGACTTTGTTTTCCTATCAAAGTGGATCCACAAATGCTTAGTTTTTCGATATACAGGGTGCTAAAGTCATTTATTTTTTCGATTTTTAGGAATAAATTTCCAAACAGATTTGAAAGTTGGCATAAAACTTGGATTACGGGTGTTTTATAGGATGCTAGATTTAAATATGTCATTACTTTTGACGCTGCTTGTAGAGGGCGCCACCTATAAGGGTACCTATGCTTTTTCTCTATGTAGGTATTTTGATAATGACAATACTAGGTACCTACCCACCTTTTAGTCAGCAGTGATTTTCTCGAAAACGGTTAGTTGTATCAAAAAATGTAAAGAGCTAAATTGCAAGATCATTGCATTACTGATTAGATGGTGAAAATAAATTTTAAAATTTTTCACCGTACTTAAATAGTTAATAACATTTGAGAATATGGTGTGCATTTAACTCTTCATCAGCCATATCTCAGAAACGGTTGGTCTGAGAGATACTTTTTTGCTTAAAATTGATGATAGGGGAATAAACACACTAATACGAAACATCATTGTATATGGTAGTAAAAAAGTTAGTGCCAATTTAATTCAAGTGTACCCTTAAAGGTGGCGTCCTCTACAAGCAGCGTTTGGAAATTATTCTTAAAAAATCGAACAAAATAAAAAAATTTAACACCCTCTATATCGAATACTAAGCATTTGTGGACCCACGTTTATAGGGACATAAAGTCTTAGGTATTTTGACCTCAAATATATAATATTCTTGTTATTTTCTTCATTTCGGTTGAAATGATTTGAGGAAAATTTAATAAGCCTTTAAAAAGATAAATATTTTTATCTTTATTATGATATAAATTGATATTTATTTAAACGTGCTGCTGTTGATATAAAAATGCATTTAACCATACCTAATTTTTGAGGGCATTCAATTCATTTGAAAATAATGTAGATACTTACTTAATTATAAATTAAGAAATATTATTAATTTCTTATCATAGATTTTTAACCAATTTTAAGTCTGCACCTGATCATGTGAGGAACAAATTTTCTCGTATTCTCTATAGTATATTACAGAGTATATTTAAATATGCAAAAATAATAAATTTTTGTTTTGTATTTTTTGAAATACATTTTTATATTAGGTAATCTTAATTGTTTTCGAGTTATTGTTGTTTACTTGGTTTGAGTCTTAACCAATCTAATATAATTTATCTTAAAAATAGAAAAAATTAAGTAGCTATTTATTAAGTAGATATTATGCTATACTTTAAAATGCTAATTTTTTCTTTTTTATGACAGTTTTTCCATTTTCTCCTGGCAATAAGATTTTGTTGCAGAATTCACATCAATTGTGAGTATTTTTTTTATATGGGACGTTATTTCTCTGGTGGAGGTACTGTGCTTTTTTCGAGGCTTTTTACAACTATACTTAAACGTAGATAATACTAAATTATTGCATAATTATATGCAGTATTCAGCGGTGATGTAATAAAATAAACGATCTGTAATAAAATGTGTTTAACATGTTTTACGTATGTTTATTTTAATGGGAAAAAAATTTCATGTGTCGGTGTGCTAGTATCTTGGTGAACTCCGACATCTCAAGTGGAATTCTCAACGATATCTATTTGCATCACATATTTGGTATTACTTTACACAGTAGAATGTATTTATTTTTTGAGGTAGTGTGAGAAATGGGTATACATTTAGCAGTATTTTTGCATGGCTCAATAGCAGGTATAATATATCTAACGCACTAGTAAATTATATGTAGGTATTATGTGAATGAATATAGTAAATATTTCTCATAGATTTTGATAACCTTCGCCTGTCATTTGATGAATTAATTTTATGCTTTTATTAAAAGATTCACTAGCTAAGTACATTGAAAATGGCCATATAAGGGACCGTCCGTAACAAATTAACTTGATTTGCCATAGCTTACCGACTTGCAACATTTTCAATTTCATTAATTGCCTTCAAGAGTGCCTTGGACCGAGCTGGTATAATATCTACTGCTGATATATAGAATACGACATAAAGAGAACAGAGAAAAGTAATTTTCTAAAGAGGTTTAGCCTGGGTCTTTGTCCTATACCTAGTACACTATGTGAAACTGAAAATGCAATGCATAATACAGTCATAATAATAATCATAATTTTATCATTAGTTAAAGTATTTGAGATACTTGAAAATACGACATATAAAATTATTAAAACATGTAAATATAAATATAGTTAGGTAAGTGTGTGTGCTATTTCTGCATAATAATTGTATATAATTGTTTAAAAGAAAGAAATAATATTTAAAAATCAAAGTATTAACGCAGGTTACATAAAATACAGAATATTTTCGGTGCTTAATTTCTTAAATAATATATGACACTTATCACAGATAAGAGAGAAGTTAGTTTGTTTATTAAATATCACATTATAATAAAATAATTCTTTAGACCTTTTAATCGTTTTCAAAATATGTATTTATTTCTGTCAACTTAGATAATGGGAACTTAGGTTAACAACAATGTACACTTTACTTTTTCTTGTCGAAAACAGTACTTTAATATCTCGTAATACCTAAAATTACAATCAAGGTTCTGCTCTATAGGAAATAAATAAGTTATTGTTTTGACAAAAAATTTTCTTATCTTTCTTTAAAATTATTTTTCTAATTTTATAGTCCAATTAACTAAGCCTTTAAATCGAAATTTTGCCAACTTGGCTGAATTTTTGATATGAGTTAGTTTAAGGTATATTATAACAATAAGTGAGAGTAATTTTTTGTTCAACCCCCGGCCAAGGGTGGAAAAAGATAAAACAAAGGGCTTTTTCAAGATAACTCAAAAAGGGTAAGAGCTAGAAAAAAAGTTTTTCATGAAAGTTGTAAAGCAGACAATTCTACATAAAAATGGCCTCTTAACTTTTTCTTGTACTATTACAATTAACAGAGTTAGGGAGGCTAGAAGTTAAGGGAAGATTTCAGAAATTTATTTAGACTATTATTATTGTTTTAGCTTTACATTAAATTTGAGTACAGTAGTTCCTTGTTAGTTATTTTAGATTTACTAGAATATGTTCCAAATGGACCTCAAAAGCTGTTTTTAACGTGCAATGCTGCAATGTGAAAGTGTATGTGAAGATGAGGAATATTAAACAATCATCCGAAGACTTAAAAATGCTCTTAGTAAACAGCCTTACAATCAGATGATGGTCGAGTTCATGGAACCGGAAACCAATTTCACTTCATTACAATTCTTATACCGTATGGATGGGTTTTTTGTGATCAAATTACACGCAGGCGGTGAATTTCCGCAATGAAGTTCCAATTTTGTGCAGCGCTTTAAGATACTGGAGTAGACTGTAGCGAATGTTTATGAAAAGACCTAAACGTTTTATTTAAAATAAAAGTCTGTATCTCAAAAGCATTAATTAATTATAGATTTTCTATAAGTAACTATTTGATTTACATGACGATGGTTCCATATAGTTTTATACATTTCTAATAAGTTGATATATCGTTAATACACAGTAATGTAGGTATTTACCTAATTATAACAAAAACCAAAGGGATGAATATCCTCACAGAGTACCTGGTGCTTTTAAACTCGCTTTTAAATGTAAAACGAAATTTTGTAAATGCTTATAAAAATTCTATGTAATATTGCACACTAGATTATTGGTTATTGTGACACCACACTAGATAATCGATCTTAAGGCGTAAAAGTTGCTATTGTTACACTTTTGCATCACTATCATATCTGTCACGTTCGTTATCTAGCCTACGAATGGCTCTATGATTCTTCTAGATCTATAACTAGACACTATGGGATAGCATTTTACTGGTAGACCAACCTACTTTTACAATATTTTCAGGTTTTCATAATTCAAGCTGTATAATTAAGAAAATAGTGAAATTATTACTACATAGGATAATTTTTATTTATTATATTCCAAGACCTACATAGTACAGAAGAAAGTTAATAAATTACAAGATTACCAAATTGGATTTGTTTTATTTTTTAATTCCTTAAACGAAAGTTGGTTCAAAATTAACTTGTTTATAATGTTTGTATCAAATTTATAAATATGCATATCTTTATTTTATGATCATGATTTAATGCCACCTTTAATAAATTTTGACTAAAACGAGGGTAAATATAATTTTATTATTATTTCCATTTTTGAAGGACAATCGCCGTAAGGTATCCATATATAAATGTAAATTAAATGAACTTTTATGACCTACAATTCGATTTACAGGTTTATGTTTCTGAATTTACGATTAAGAATTTAATGTAAATGTTATTCATAAATACTAAGGAGTAATCTGCAAAATATATTTGAGAAATTTCAAAACACTATACAACGCCACTCTTTTGTGTGTTGCAAAAAGTTTGTTATGTTTCATACAACTAAAAACAGACTTTAATAAAATAAAAATAGTATTCAATTAGTTTCAACTGAAAAATACCAGTACCGTAGATGGCAAGTTGTTGCTTGGAAACAGTCATAATATTAGGTATTGGATTTATTGTTACACATTTAGCAGTCAATAGAATATGGTAAATAGCAACGTAGGTACCTACTTAAGTATCTTCTCATCTGATTTCCCAATTATCTAAAGACCAGTAAATTTTACGAATACTTTACAAGGATACTTTATTGCCACAAATTGATTATACATTTTAAAAACATTTAAAATTATTTAAAAAACCAGTTTTGTACGATTTTTTTTTTTAAAGAAGGTCCCCTACTTTCCCAATAACTACGCCACTGAAGTGTTATCCATGAAAAAATAGTCCCTACTAAAAAAATGTCATCCTCCAAATTTTATCACTCAATCTTTTATGCCAACTTCTAATACCCTGTATCTCCGTGGGGCGTCCTATCAAAAATTTTTATAGGGCAAGAGTTAATTATTTTCATCGGTAGAATACGCCATTAAAGTTTGGCGAAAATTATCATTAACATCCTGTATAAACATACTTAAAACATAAAACGATACAGGGGGTTGAAATTAAAAAAAGTACAATTACTAAAATATTTTTAATAACGATTGATATGTAGAATAACGCAAATTAGACTAATGATTTATCTAATTATGCACTGAATTTGGATATAAATAAGTGCACCAGTGATGAATATATCGGAGGTTACTTATTTTCTCTATAAACCTCAGAAATTCGACGCAACTGAGTATTTTGAAAATGTCAGTATTTCTAACTCCCTATGGTATATCCAATAAAAAAGATACAATTCATTTTATTCGAAAGATGAACCATTTTCAATGTACATATTACTTTTTTAACTTATATAATAAGTGAATCTTATTTGTGGAAGGGCGAAATGGGCGGTGACTATTAGACGTCTTCATTATAGCCATCTTTCTCTATCGCACGGATTTCTATGACTTTCTTTATCGCTCTCACGTAACGGCCGATGAACCATGGGAACTTTCCGACCCTGTATACCAATAACGCATCTGCATTTGTGACAGAAGAGCAAAGCAACCTAATCAAATATAATAAAGGTGTAACAATGAGCTTGTACTGCGCATTTCAAGATCAGATCTATCGAACATTTTTGTTTAAAATTATGTAGAGGATTTTAAATCAAAACACAACATCGTGGTAAAATATTTCAGTAAATATCTTCTCAATACTACAAACACAGAGTTGGACAATACTTTTTATTGATGATTATAATTATGACACTTTTTTTAAAACATGGAGGAATTCAATAATATAATAATTATTATTTACAAAGCATTTTTTTCCGTGTAGTTTGTAGGTTGTGTATATCGAAGAAAATATGGTGTGAATATACCATTATTTTCCAATGCAATTGTAAACTTTCTTATCTTAAAATTTGTTTCTATCTTTCGCTTTCTAATTGGGTCCCATAGCTTTGACAGCGTCACTTTCAGTTAGTTTCCTGGTCTTGATTTTGCTCTTCCAAACAGTAAATAGCGCCCAGTAGATCCTGGAGTCTGCAACTGTATTCATCTTAGAATAAAGATATAATAAAGCTTCACTAATCGATGTTTGATATATTGTAGGTAATGCTTCAGTCAAAGAGAGAAGTGAGGGTTCACTATGATTGTCCTTACCCTTATTGATTAATGACTTTTATTTCGACCACTGTTAAATCCTTGGATGGCTCTAGGGTTTTTGTTGGTTAATATTTATGGTTATACGGACCTAAGTTGCACAAATTCTATATATATGAAATAATCTATCTACGTATTACTCTCGTGTTGAATTTAAAATGTCCAAAAACGTTCGTATATAAAATGAACTTTGTGAGAAAATTTCAGTAATGTAGCAGCTGCAGGAATTTATGTCCTACTTGC